TTCCTTCTTCGGTCTCCAGTATAGACCCTAGAGGACAACAGATGTGGCGTTCCCGTGCACGGAAATCAACCGACAAGAGCGCTAGGGCCTTGCAAAGTAAGCTGCTGAAGCTGCAGATTTTTTTTCTTATCAGGCTGTTGTCTGGCGCTCTCTCATCTGTAGCGCTCTCTCGCCTCATACTCTCCTCTCCGCGCTTAGTCTCTCATTCCCTTAGCACAGCCGATTAGGAAGGTGAGTGAGCCCTTAACCTAAGCGTTTTTGACGGATTCTTTTCCTTTTTCTTTATTAATTTAATAATGCTACCGAATGGAATTCGAAGAGTTACACTTTATAAACTGTTCGATAATTATTGAGTCTTCCAGGCATAATTTCGTAAAACTTCACGGCCGCTATGCTGTACAGTATCACTCAACGCAACCATTGCTATTTGTCGCGTGCACAAAGTTGTCCCTTTTTTAGCCTCGCGAGAAATTCTAGTATTTTTCACTATAAAAAGACCTTAAATAACATGTATTCTTACCGAAGTGAGACCAGCAGCCTCCACAAGCAGCCTGGGTAAATCATTGGCAGAATGCCAGTTTGCTAAAACATGAAAGACGCTGTTGAATGCAGCATGCGATGATCTTTCATGCTCCGTTGTACCTGAAATTTTCATGCTCACCATCAGTAGAGTGGTCTACCATCAGCAAAATATCCCTCCTAGGCACTACTAAAGGCGCATATCGGTCGATATGGATCACTACGACGTGATGCGCATTATTATTTACACTGTACTGCAGAGGCGATTTACAAAAAAGCTATAGCAAAAATGGTAAACAGTATGTAATTTTCCTGCTGAAAATGCCTTCTACGAACTCGTCAATTTGAAAAACGCAACCCAGGACTAGAGTGGATTGCAACCCTAGTGTGAGAAAGGTGGAGAGATCGGCAATACTTCGGCTCATACCGACCTTGTGGCACAAAATTGCCAAAGAAGGAGGCTAATGCGTTAGGTTGCGCACAGTGCTTCACCCAGCAACCGGGATGCGCTTACGGGCTCCGTAAGTCAGAGGTCGCCGCAGCCGAACTACGAAGCCTAGGAGGGTGGCCTCTACTTTTAGGGTTTTTCTGTGCTTCCTTTTCGTTTTTCTTTCTACTACCGGTCAATTTGCCACCTCTACTTTTATTTTCTAGCGCAATAACCATACCAGCTTGATTCTGGAGCGTGCCTTCAAGGTACGTTCCACGGCAACCTAAGTGTGGATATTGCATTCAAAAAAAGGGGAGGCGCGAAGTGAAAAAACTTGACACTGAAAAAAAAACTTAACTATTTGTGAGCGTGGACAGGAGTACAGCTGAAGATACGACTGGCCTCCGAAAAATTCTATTAGGTTGTCCCATAATTAGTGAATCACTTTGGGTATTTTTGAATTCAAATTTTTTTCTTTTTTATGTGGAGTCTTTGCTCATCCAAACATACATCTCTGTCATCTACAATGTATTGCCTATAAAGGGAAATTTTAGTCGCTGTCTTATCTCTAGAATTCCAGGAGCTATTGATCGAAGAAAGATCGGAAGTCGAGTTTGAGGTCATGTCACTTAGCGTAAAATTCCTTCCCTGGGGAAGAGCGCTAGAGGTCAGACTGAGTTGCCTCTTGTTGGCACGAGGATAGGGCCACACAGAGGAAGGTGAAAGAACGGCTAGCTTGAGAGTCTCCAATTTTTTATGAATATTCTCCGCAAGGTGGGTCGAACGACCTCAGGAAAAAAGCAGACTTTGTCTTGCTTTACTTTCAAATTGAACGCGTCGCCATTACGCTGTAGATGTTGATCTTCTTCAGTGACTCTAGTATTACTGGGCGGCGGTTCCCAGCGCATGGTCACTCTCGTGCTCCACCAATATCTCTGAAGGGTCGGACTCGAAGGAGGTTCGGCTTTTGCTGTCAGAACTCCCGAATCCTTCATGCTAGGCTACTGCTTTTTGGAGATTTGCTAGTACACTCCACCCAGTCCAGAACCCTGGTGAATATGCTGGATGATCACTGTAAGGAACTAAGGGAGATCAGAAGGAACATGATGATGTCAGATCGTGTGTGGAGCTGTTTCGGGCTCACAGCATACAAGATACAAACTAAATATTTTAAAATCTTTACAACTCTACGTAGATGTCTACATTCCATCATTTTAACAAGTCGGACATGCTCTAGCAAACGGCGACTAGTTTGTCCATATCACGCCATTAGCGCTGGGTACAGCAGTGAGATTGCCAGTTGAGGGGTAGTTGGAGTGTGGGTCATCTTCAACTAAAAAAGCCAACCTCTCGATAGAGTGAACTACAAGCAGACCGTGGATTGAGGGAGCGTGCCCTCGCCTATCTGCTGGTTGATTCTCTATGTTGTTGGGCGTTTGAAAGATCCTAATCAGAAGTGATTAAGAAGGGAGCTCAAAAATAGGTTCCAGAAAAATTGAAATATCAGCCACGGAAGGCAGCATGGAAATGGGCTGAGTAATTGCTCAGGTAGGATAATGTGGATGCTACTTCGCAAAACATGTTTCACGCCTTCACCATTTTTCTTAAATTTTGAATAACAATAAATGTAAAGTGATTCACTAATGGGACAAAAACCTAATAGCATTGGAGCAATCTTGAGGCGACCGCAGTCATAAGCTCCTGCAGCTCTTGCCAAGCGCTTTCGATTCGCGATAATAGCACTATCTCTACGGTTAACTCAGTTGCCATATAACAGAAGGGCTTTTCACTGGTGTGATCGTGGAATGCGCCTCTGACGATGAGTGGTAAGAAGATCTAATCAGCATCAGATTCCACTCAATACATCTTATGATAAAGAACCAACCAGCGTATACATGATGAATTTGGGAGCACACATTGAGAATTTCTCCATCCGACAATGCTGTTTGTTGGAATTTGCTGTCAGCTTTCCAGTTGATGAACACAGGACCGCTACTCTTTGACTGGGTTGAATCAGAGAGTGGTATTTGGAAATCCACTGAATCAGTCAGACACACAACGGCAAAGCGATCCTCTTGTTTGAAATGAGGAAACTGAAAGAGAGCTGTTGTTTCAATGATTCGCTGAGTCCCAAACAATGTATCATTCAGGTGAAGAGTTCTTCATCTAGAACGTAATAGGAATAACAGCGTTTGCGAGTCTTTTTAAATGCGGCTCCTCAGTGACTCGCATTCTTGCTATTGTTCGTAACAGATCAAAAAAATTGAAGAAGCAAAGAATACCCTTACCGCACTGGCGAAGTCAGGACCTCCTCGACTATGAGCTACGACGAAAAATCTTTTAACTGGTGTGTCTTTCAGTAACTGCTCGTAAACTGCACAAATATGTCGGCAAGGATAATCTTGCACCTGAACAGTGATAAGAATCAAGGATATATGAAATAAGATCGAATCTTATCAAATGACTTCCGCATCTATATTGTGGCTAATTATAGCAACAATTTGTCTATGGTTGCTGACAATACCAATGGAACGACCACACCCACTGATCCTGAGAACCGTAATTTTTTTGTTTCACAAGAATGCTGGGTTGTGAACAAAACTTTCGCCCCAGGCGGGACTAGAACCCGCACCTCTCGCTTTCCGGGCAAGTGCGCTACCAGTTACGCTACCGGGGCACCATTTCATCCCAACTAAACGCACATAGTCGGTCGATTGTATGGATAACTACGACGTGATGTGCATTATTACTTACTCTGTACTGCAGAGGCGATTTAATGCGCTATAGCAAAAACTATGGTAAACATTATGTAATTTTTGATTATTAACACATTGCGGACCGCCCTTATACGAGCATCTCCATACCTTTTTCATGTTTTTAAAAAATGAATCATCATTAATCTATCAACAATTTTATCAGTGATGATACTTATGTTTCCTGGCTCTGAAAATGAGTGCAAGCACTTCAGGAGCATTGAAAAATGCCAAATAAATCAGATAAAACTATGATCTTTCGCTCCAAATCGTGCGCCACATGGTGGCGCACGCGGTACGCAATGTGTTAAAGTTCGCGTCTAACACGAAAGTATAGAACAAAGAGCGGGGTTCCCCAAGGCACCTGTCTTGGCCCGCTTATGTCATCACCCTTTATATAAATGATTTGCCGCAGTGCCTTCCACTAAACGTACATTGCTCCCATGGTATGCCGATGACGTGAAATTTTTTTGCTTCGATCAGCCGCAACTGGAAGAATCCTTTTAACTATGACACATGCCCACATAAATGGAACTCGATCCCAACTTTCGTCGCGAGAACAAAGACGACTTTATATTTATTTAATCATTAGGTATGTAAGAAACAGCGGAGAAAACAAACTAAGTTATATTACAACAACCATGTAGAAAATGTACCCCAATAGCCATAAGGCGACAACCAATTTATGACCCCATTAATGCTATCTACACACATCTACGCATGTAGTATTATGCTTTGCTGCAGCACGTTTGAAGGATGCACAAGAGCTTTGGATGGGTATAGATTTGGTAATACGCAAATACGACAGCCCAGCTCTAATAGTGAAAAAATTCCGCCTAAGGTTGGTTTTAGGCCTATGGAAGGATAACTTGAAATCTCCACCCCTGGTTCTGGATGGAATGAGGTCGTAAAAGTCAGTAAAGTTGATAAGGGTTCGATAACAAAGAAATATATGGCTACGTCTACTTTCAATGATGCTGCTTTTCGATTATGGTGTACCACACCTATATAGAGAATATCGAGAATAGCACCACTTACCGAATCATAATTATAGAGACAATATGATTCAGACTTTCGACTTAGCCTTCTTGGTTTAGAGGACCATTAAAAATCATACAATGTCTAAATAAACACTCTAGCGAGAGCATCACTAGAGCGAATTTCATTCGACCGCTTTATCAAACACCGACGACAGAACACTCTTCTATTAACTATGACTAGACACAACTTATTCTTACTATTCACGACATACGTTCGGCCTTTACTGGAATATTGTTCAGTGATCTGGAGCCCATCAAACAAATTTCTAGTTGAGCGCATAGAGAAGGTCCAGGCTAAGTTTACTGAGAAAATTTTTGCACGCAATGGGTTATTCCAACTTTCTTATAAAGAAAGACTATCGTTGCTTAAGGCTAACACTTTAGAAATGAGAAGAAAAATGTTCGACTACGAATGTGTTTACAAGCTTGCACATAAACTACTAGACGTTGACTTCGACATAATTTTCAGTAGATCGGTGACTATTGGACGTACCCGCGGGCATAACTTCAGGATGCTAAGGGAAAAAACTAGATCGACAGAATTCCGTAATTCCTTCACACAGAGGGTCATTTCTATCTGGAACGACTTGCCGCCTTCGGTGGTTGACTCTAGTTCTGTAGTTTCGTTTAGAAGGGAACTTAAGAGAATCTTGATTGCCCAAGGGTGGTTCTGATATTCCACACAACCATTCTAAAATAAACGGTTCTACCTATAGACGATGAGAACAGAAACTGAGATTTATTCAATGAGGTCTAGAAGCGAACCACGTCATACATTGTTCTCTTACTCTTTCATTGGACACTGGCAATACTCAGAGATTATATTTAGTACTATCTCTGTGCAAGGTGTTTTCCTATTTCTGATGTTCCTTGGTAATTTTATCTTATGACATTGCTTCTGGCTTTTTCCTAGTTGTTTTGAGTTCCTTTTTTCACCTATTTCCTTTAGTCATCCCCTCCCCCTCCTACGTCGACTGTGGGCCTTGATGGTGTTGACGGACCTACTACGATGGTATCCGGAGCCGCTTGATGTCTGGCGTGACTTGCAGTGTTGGTGGGCCACTGCTCTTCGCCATCAAGTTCCCCACCCCCCCCCCCTGGAAAGTTCCAGCCTCTCTCCATCATTGTAGTGAACGAACAAAATTAAGCGCTGAATTGATTCTTTTTGTTTGTTTCCTTTATTGTATCGGAAATTTGTACTAACTGAGTTAATGTATTGTTATTTTTTCGTTACCGATAATAAATAATAATAATAACATATTGGTGGGGGACGGAAAGTGATAACAACTGATAAGGGCTGATAAGATGCGCTAGAACGCGAAGTTGCCGATTCGTTTTGTAGTTCGTGTTGATATTGGAGTGTCCATACTTACAAGTGTTATGTTGGGTCACTCAAATCATAAATCACTTCCGGTGCACGCCTACCCCAACTCTCGATATCGAGTATACATACAAACCGACACATCAACTTCACAGTTTATAAAATAGAAGGATAGATACTCTACCATGATTCGACCCCTCCCGGCTCTCCTAGGCTCAGACGATTTTGCACAGGGCGGCCATAATCTTTAACATCCACAATGCAGCAATCAATTCATATGCACCTACTTGACACAAACAG